TTAGAAAAATCTGTATTTATTCTTTATATAATTTTTGCTGACAAGCATCAACAATATACCTTAACTTAATAATTGCACAGCAAAACAGAGATCAATAATCAAACTTAAACCTATTTATCTTTCATTTTGTGAACCCCTTCCTGTGTTCCACTGTGCCCCAGATCTGGGGTACAATGAAACAGAGTATGGGGCACATTGGAACACGACCTGTATTCATACCAAAAAATTAACCAATGCTTTTAAATCTACATAAATTTATTCAATTTATCGTTTGTACAAATACTTGACAGGAACTGTCTGTTGATGTTGGGCCTGTGACATAATTTGGCCGACCATCGGGTACGGGTCGCAATAAGTATCATAAAAAGCTGTAGGTGTGGAGCGTATATCAATTCGCAAATTCGCGGAATGTGTGTATACCTAATGTAAAGATTACGAGGTCGCGGGGCCGCGACACTCCGCTTATCTGGGCTGCTTCACAATACACGACAAGTTTCCACTGGCCGGGCTCGGGAGATCGGGTGCCGCGAGTGGCCCGTCAGCCGGGCCCTACACCCGGCTACCCAGCAGCGTGACATGCATCGGAGAATGTTCGCAGCGACATGACTCAGTAAACATGTTGTAACAAACAATAACAACACTGTTATGTTTATAATGACTACACATTGTCAATATTAACTAGTTCCTGTTAGGCACCTATATCGATAGCTACGTCCGTGTACGTGTCCTTGATTCCGTATGTTTGCTGAAACACCTAAATATTGATTATTGATCATGATTAGTACATGTACATGTACACATTCAAACTGTCGTCTTCATCGAAAATCTTTCTTGAATCATGAAATAAATTATAGGAATATATAAAAAAAAAATCAACTATATTCATCGAAATGACTGTAGTCCGACGAAACTTTACATTTCTTATTCAGTTTCGATTTCGATAGAAACTTACCAAACTTTACCAAAACTGAGGCCGCAATCGAAACTTGTTTTCTGAGTCACTCGACACGTCAGGATATTTTATGATTCCCCTTTCATTACACGTCGCTAGTCATCTTGCAATCTTATCTACTAACCCTGTAGTCCTTTATTTTTTGCGTGACTTGAGTATCTATTATGGTTATCTGGCTTTGGCTTTACATTTATCTACTTTTTATAGTTACTTACCTTATACTAATGAACATGTACAATTGGTAACAAGTCAATCATCATCCAAATCATATCAGCCGTTAACTGCCCGGCGCTGTACATACTCGTACACCTCCCCATAAAGGGGTATGCTGCCCATCCCTCAACCATTCTGTTCCCTTAGTCGCCTCTTATGACACCCACGGAGAAGGACGTGGTGGCCCAATCTATGCCGAGAGCACACGGCATAGTTGTACATACCTACATCAATTTACTTTGTAACGACAATTATAACTACACATAAATATATTTCAAAATGATAGTTTTATGACAAACCTTATATTGAGATAGAAGAAAGAAAGAAATAATAAGAGTAATTCTGAAATATTAATTGACAAACAAATAGGTACGTACATGTGTCACCTGTCCCAAGGCCAGTTCACAATGGTTCTTACAGTAATATAAATTCATACGCTTATAAAGTCGTACAGTGTTCATAATAGATACAATGTCAACATACATCTTGCATAATATATGTACGAAAAAATATATATTAAAAAATTACAGCTATTTATTAAATTCTTTAAATCGTCCTCTTGTTCGGGTGCTGCGGTAGTGACAGCGGAAGCAATAAAGAGGCGTAAATACTCATATCTGGAGGGGTCTTATTGTTTTCTGCCATTTGCTGTAGAGACGATGGGCCCGTGGGGCCCAGATGCAAAGAATTTTTATCGGACGATCGCAGCGCGCCTCATAGAGGTTACTGGTGACCCAAGAGCTGGTAGCTACTTTGCCCAAAGATAAGTTTGGCAATCCAAAGAGGTGATGCTGCCAGTATCTTGGGTACGCTGCCTCGGTGTGGTGCGTTGGGGGATTACTTTTAATTAGTATTAGTATTTAAGGAATTTTATATTAACTTTAATTTATTGTTGTATTGTTTTTATGTCCTGTATTTAATTTTTGAATGAATACAAAATATAATAAACATTGCAAAAAATTAAATTCTTTATTGTACACACCAGTTATAAGAATATGACAGAGGTAATCAAATGTACAAAGGCGAGCTTAACTCTGATAGAGTTCTCTTCCAGCAACACCCAGTGCTAATGTACATATATAGCTATATGTGATTTAAATACTTTTGAATCTGGACATGCCTCCAATTTTATAAAATGTATGTAATATCTTTCTGCATGTGTGGTAGATATGTTAATTAGTAATAATATTCTTATTACTGGCCATTAATGCTTTGTTTTCGAGCAATTGATAACTCGTAGGTTGGTCTCGTTGAGGCCAAAGTCAAGGTCGGATGATGAGATTCATGGAAACTACCAATACGCTTTTTTTTTAAGCAACTTAGAATGGCAAACAAGCTGATGGTCACCTGATGGAAAGTGGTAACCGTCGCCTATAGACATGAGCAGTGCCATGGACATAACAGAGTATACTGTTTCAAACATGATACCTTCCTGTTTATTTTCTGGTTTTGCTCCATTACACGACTAGGATTGGTTTATAAAGCATAGAAACTTAGTGCCACGTCGCGTTAGATATATTTTTTTAATGGAAAGTTTTTTTAAGTGAAAACGGAATGGTTACCCCGCCCGCGCTATCGGTAATCCACCGACGAGGCACCAGTGGAAGATGATACATGAGAATGAATGCAGGTCAGTTGACCCACCATGACGAGTTCGACAAGAATTAAACATAATGGTTTCCAGGAGGAACCGCGTGGAGGTCGACCTAAGAGGGTTATTAGGGGGGAATGGGATTGTTAGTAAAGGAGACTGAGAATCCCATTGCTAGCAATATACCCAACCAGGTCGACCTCCTCGCGGTTCCCCCTGGAAACTATCATGGTTAATTCCTGATGAATTCATCATGATGGGCTAACTGGCCTGTTTTCATTCTCATCGATCACCCTTCAGTGGTGCTCTGCCAGCGTATCCCGTTAGCGCAGGTGGGGTTACCATACCATTTTCACCTATAAAAAAAAATGGGGCAATTAGACCCCATTACTAACAATCCCTTTCTCCCCGCGTTAGATATTATAATGATACAGTTTTTTTAACAAGTAAATTTCGTGCAACAAAAAAGAAACCGACTTCAATTGTGACAAAACCAGTTATTTGGGTTAAAAAACCGATTTTATTGAAATTTGCGAGGATCAAATTTAAAAATATATCCTTTGAGATACAAAAAGATTTTCAAAATCGGTTTATTTTAACGAGTTCTGAACTAACAAATATAAAAAAAAATATAAACAAAGAGAAAATCCTTTTTTTGGAATCGGTTAAGATATATATAATTCTAAGGATTCCCAAATGCAAGGCTACTCATGTAAAAATATTTCAAACTAGCGGTCCGCCCCGGCTTCGCACAGGTAGGTATATAGATAGCAAGATAAATAAGTATTTTATATCAGCTTTAATAAGGAAATGTTATATACCTTGGGTTATGTTATCGTAATTTTCGTAGGATTTTTTTTTAATTAATATTACAGTCTGTGCTACTCGCTGATAACGTAGCTTTTTTTTTTATACAACTTAGAATGTGCAAACAAGCTGACGGCCCACCTGATGGAAAGTGGTAACCGTCGCCTATAGACTTGAGCAGTAGCATGGACATAACAGAGTATACTAAATCGCTCATGATACCCCCATGCGTTGCCATTCCTGAGGACTCAGGTGTTATTCCTCCGTACCCAGTAAATTCACGCCATATCCCATCCTTCAAACCGAAACACAGCCATGCAAACACAGCTGCTTCACGGTTAAAACACGAATGGGACAGAGGTACCCAAGCAATCGACTTTTGTACAAAGTCTCCCTTTGGTAGCTTTCTATAAGTGAAAGAATTTTTAAAATCGATTGAGTAGTTATTGAATTTGTCCATTTCAAACAAACAAATAACCAAGTGTTCCCTCTTTATACCATCAGTATAGATATTACTATGTGAACAGCTCCCGAAGTGTGTCTGTTTAGTTATTTTACATTGTCAATAATAGCACACGTGTTTATGTACAATACACATTTACATTATCATTCAAGTGGCATGTAAAAATATTAAAAGTTATGAACTGTACTAAAAAAAATTATTAATTAGTCAGGATTTCAATAAATGTACAAATCATGACGAATTCTGTCTAATGCAATTACAAATATATATATTTTTCAGTATTTTCTGCCCCGCCCTGTAAGGTTAGTTTAACCTATAACTAAATAATAGAGTTAATTATAAACCTACTTGTACTATAACTAGTCTATTTATCTATCTTTATTTATATATATATAGCTACTTGTTTATTTGGCATCACATCTATAATAGCTTTTTGCAATTTTTTTCGTGTTACATAAGATAATGTAATTCTAGATAATTCAATTATACGGACATTGGTTCGTTAAACGTCACGTACAATATCACTTCGTAAGCAAAACGTAGAGAGCTCGCGTTATCTAATAACTTTATGTATTCTCTTCAAACTTCGTGTCACAAGTTCAAGAACGGTGATAACAATTTATGCCAACTGCTCGTATGGTATGCAAATTTGAAGATTGTAAAAAGATTATGTGAAGAAATTTTGTTGCGCCGAATGCATGGCGGTGCTGGTGCTGGGCTCGGGAATATGCAGCGACGCGCCAACGCACCACACGCGGCGCACCCGCGCCGTCGCTGCGCGCGCGCATCGCGTGATGGTGCAACTTTGTACAGCGGACGGATCGCGGCCGTGGCCCGCGCCCCGGGGCGAAGGGTGCACGGAGCCGGGTGCAGGGCGGAAGGTGCATCGGGCCAGAGGAAAATTTCACCTTGAGCCGAGTCTCCCGGAGGTGTGTTATCAGCAAGCGGCCGCCGCCGCCCGCGCCCCGCCGCCGTCCCACGCTATATAACGCGCGCGCGCCTCTCCCACACGCATACATTCCGTGTTGCAAGCGTAGCATCCACTCCTGTGTCTCGCAAGTAGCTCCCTCATCTCCACTTCTATCAGTATGGCCGCCAAGTACGTCTTCGTTGTCGCCGCTTGCTTCGCTTTGGTAAGTTCATTTTTTTTTAATCTGTTTATGGGCGGCGGTAGTCACTTACCATTAGGTGAGGCGCATGCTCGTTTGCCCCCTGTGATGTAAAAAAATCATCGCCCCTTATTCGTGACTATAACATCTATCTATCTACATTGTCTGTCTCTCTGAAACCTCTTCAATGGTCAAGCCAACGGATTTCTAGTTATCCCGGTGGGCCTCTGTTATGTAACGTATGACCAGATCTTTAATCTGAAACTGTTTGTGTGGCAGGCGCAAGCGGGCATAGTGCGCCGCGACGCGTCCACGCCGCTGCAGGACCTGGAGAAGCACGCCGCCGAGTTCCAGAAGACGTTCAGTGAGCAGCTGAACGCGTTCACCAACTCGAAGGACACCAAGGAGTTCAACACCGCCCTCAAGGAAGGCTCCGACTCCGTGCTGCAGCAACTGAACGCTCTGGCCTCCAGTTTGCAGAAAGCGGTCAGTACCTACCTACATACATACACCGAGTCGGTGTTTTCGTTCTAGCAGATTACGATAATACACACACTTCTCATACTAATAGTGATATTTATGACATACTGCATGTCATGTCAATGCTGTTAGTTTCAATTGTGCGCCGGACAATTCATTCAAGTATACACATACTCGTATTTGATACAAATATTTGCCACGAAAAACCAAAAGAAATTACTTGCTGAAATATTCCAATATTTACTAATAGTTTATTGGAAATATTTTTTTTAATTACCGATAATTCAATATAGTGCCTAATGCAAAGCATTTACAAGTTTTTTTTTTTGTTAATTTTAGTAATTGAATCGTAACAGAACAAGAATAATAGAGACATTTATTTATCTAAGTACTATTTCGAACATATTTGGCAATTACCATTCTGTTCTCGGAACTATGAAAATTATACATGTTTTAATATTATATTATACAGTGATTTAATATTTAAAAAACACTTTTATGAAGGGGGAAAGATTGTTGACTTAAATAAATTTAAACATATGTATATCCTGCTAATTAAATAGTTACAAATGTGAAAGGTTTTAAAGATGGTTGGATGTTGACATGTTTATTAGTCGATTACCTTTTAATGGCTGAACAGATTTTAATGCATTCCGGTACACAAATAGGTCGTATCTTAACATATAAGATATACTAATTCACGTGGACAAAGTGGAAGGATACAGAAGCCACTTAACAATGAATACCGCGTTTTAAATTATCTTCAAACAAATATTCTTTATAATAAGGTATAAAGTTGTTACGACTTAATTGTTTAATACATGAACACTGCCACGGTGTGAACACGCTGTTCTACTGATGCTATATACGAGTATGTATTACGTGTGCGTGCAGCTGAACGACGCGAACGGCAAGGCGAAGGAGGCGCTGGAGCAGACGCGCACGAACCTGGAGCGCACGGCGGAGGAGCTGCGGCGCGCGCACCCCGACGTCGAGCGGCAGGCCGGCGCGCTGCGCGACCGCCTGCAGGCCGCCGTGCAGACCACCGTGCAGGTACTGACTGCGGTACTGCGCGCACGCGACAACTTTCAGTTACAGCTTGAAAAATTTATAATGTTTCATTGGCTATTAAGCTAAAACAAAAAAAAAATGCATTTTGAATCAGTAAGGTCAACTTTCTCTGGTAGACCCTAAAAAAATTATACGTCACTTTAAAACGTCAACTAACTCTCTCCGGTGATGTAAAACACCGGCAACAAATGATATTAGTCCGAGTGACGGCAGTAGCCTCGCCTGCTAGCTTATTTGTATTGTAATAATTTAATCTCCACCATATTCACCTCCACGCAACCGGTGAACAATCGTCTCTGAATGTCGCCCTGGGATTACAGTCGTGAACATATTATTCTTATTTAGTTGGATTTATAATGATTGTAATGAGTCAGATGACATGCCCATGATTATGAAATCACTAATGAAGCCTGGTCCGGACCATATGCTGAATATGCGCATTACATTGCAGGAGACCCAGAAGCTGGCTAAGACCGTGGGCGCCAACCTGGAGGAGACCAACAAGAAGCTGGCGCCGCAGATCAAGTCCGCCTACGACGACTTCGTGAAGCAGGCCCAGGAGGTGCAGAAGAAGCTGCACGAGGCCGCCAGCAAGCAGTAAAACGCCCCTCCGCCCCCGCCCCTTTACATTATAATAAACTATATCAATAGATATAAAATATTTTTGTAGTTTTATTTTATAGCTCCGTCTACACGGCCAGCCCTTACTTTCATGCATATTTATTTATTTATTAGACACCTAAAACAAATCATAACCATAAAAAAAAACTTAAGTACTAGTTATATTTGTAATACAGTTAGGTTGCAACCTAATTACATTATGTGTACAGCTTGAGTAATTCATATTAAGCGAGCATAACATATGAAAAAGAAAATACATAAAAGAGCAAATACAAAGAAGCGCAAGATACTCTCAAAAACTAGTGACAAATACGATTCGTAAAGCAATCCGTTTATTAAGGAATACCTATATGATGTGTTTTAAAATGTTTAATAATATACCTATGGATATAAAGGAACTTGCATTAAATAACATTTAAAACTGTATTACGTAAATAGTTACTTAGCAAAAGCTTTTACTCTGTTGACAAATTTTTCAAAAAAGAATAGATAAATATCTAATATAGTTGTCGATGCATAAATTAATCAGTTCCTACCAAACCACCTAGTGATAGTGTTATAAACATATAAACCATCTTCACAAAATAATCCGATTAAAATTATACATGAGAAAATGTATAATTTGTTGATGTATGGATAGATAGGTGTTTGCTACTCTTTCGGACAGAAAATACAGGCACAGGCTCGGGTTCACGCAGACAAAACCGCGAGGTGCAGCTAGTATCAGCATACTTAATTAATAGGAATATAAAAATATTTATGAACCATTTGCAATGAACACGTACTTCAGTGAATAGCGAATGGGACTCCCACTATAATAGCAAACAAAGTAATAACCCACTTGATGGGAAGTGGGAACCATCGCCTATAAACCAGAACAGTACCATGGACATAAAAGAGTATAATAATTAGCGAACCCTACACTGGCAATAAGTCAATTCTTAGCAATATATTCAGCTATGAGATTTATCGATCCCCTACGAGCAATACCCCTGTTAAGAACTGTATTGTAGCACAAAAAAAAAAAAAAAAGATTCGCAATCCTTGGAATTACAGAAAACTCCAATAATAACATGACAATTATTAAGTTAAAATGTAACAATATATATATATATATATATATATATATATATATATATATATATATATATATATATATATATATATATATCGTATTACATCGATATAATATATAGAACCACGATATAAAAACAACGATAACAATGATAATATATTAAATAATACATTAAGTGCATTAGAATTATTTATTACAAAATATCACAGAGCGGTACATTTTATTGCAGGAGACTTCAATGCATGGCACAGGGATTGGGGATCCCTGACCAACAATAAGCGAGGCAATCAAATATCTAACTTAATCACAGCGAATAATATTCACATTTGTAATTCTGGAAATACTCCCACATTCACGCAAGTTACACACGGAAGAGTAGTTGAATCCATAATCGACTTGACCCTAAACACGACTGTAGACTTAGATTGTATAAAGGATTGAAGAAGGAATCTGCCCATCATCTGATCATAACGCAGTAGAATATAAAATATCAACCTCTAAAAAAAAAAATAAAATTGTAAACAAAAAATTGAAACGATATTTATAAATATAATACACAGAAATATGATTTTAAAAAAAATAAGGAAGAGTTCATTGAGAAAATAAAAAGCACTTAAATGTAGACATAGATATAAATTCATTAAACACAGATGGAGTAGAATCACTCGTTGACACAATGACCAATGCAATACAGAAAACTTGTAATAAAATCCTACCCAGAGTTCAAAGGAGGAAAATGACTGCTCCATGGTGGAATGAACAACTAGAAGAGATGAAGAAAAAGGTAATAAAAAAAATCACCATGAATTAAGGAAATTGAAAAGACAAAATAAACCATTGGTCAAAGCATTAGAGGAAAAAAAAAGAGAGACTTAAAGAAGAGTACACACAGGAAATTAAAGAGGCATCGGTCAAAAGCTTCCGGTAATTTTGCCAGGGGCAAGGAAAAGAGGACGTGTGGGCCGTGATTAACTGCATCATTAAAACCAAACCGCACAATTCAACACCAATAACGATTAAAAAATCGGAAAACACATATACGCAGAACACTAAAGATACCGTCCAAACATTAATTTCCCAATTCTTTCTAGATGATACAGTTGATACTCAACCCAATCATGCCATTACCCGTTCAATAGCTAATACTCATCCAAACACGGAATCAGAAGCACCGTTTAACGAAACCGAACTAATAGCTGCCATAAAAGAAATGAGCCCCAGGAAAGCGCCCGGCGAAGACCACCTCACGGCAGACACAGCCTGGCATTCGCCGAGTGCTTTCCTCGATTTCTGTTAGATGTAATGAACAGATGCCTACAGTAAAGTTACTTCCCCATAATATGGAAATCAGCCGTCATTAAAATCTTACCGAAGCCTGGCATAACTGATTACTGCGATATAAAGTCACATAGGCCCATCATATGATTTTTTTTTTTTTTTTTTTTTTTTCTTTCTCTTCTGTAATCTTTAGTTTAGTGAGTCAATAACTACAATATGAAAAGTGAGCATTCAATAATTGTTATGACATATTAATGTTACTCACTGATAGATACCCACAGATATTATGGTGTAAGCCCAGTGTTCTCATAATAGCAGATACTGCCATACATTCCGCAAAAGTAAATTATCATCAACATCATCATCATATCAGCTATTACTGGCCCACTGCTGGGCCAGTAACATAGGCCTCCCACATAGACCGCCATAAGGAACGGTCTTGAGCCACCTGCCTTAACTGAGCCCCTATAACGACGTCGTCACTCCATCTAGTGGTGGGTCCTATTGCGATAGTTCGTCATATATGGAAAACAGATTTAATGCCATCTCGTGGCGAGGCGTTGAACTACGTAATTAATTGAATTATTAATATAATATTTTAATATATTTACATACACATTACAATTTTACAAAGATATTTTTTTTTTTTTATAGCTAGAAAACAATTTAAAAAATTGTGACGTTCATTAGTTTTAATTTATGATATTTTGTATTGATGCATTATGGTATCGATACTCAGACTGTACGCCAATCGATCTGAATAAATAAAACTACTATTTTCATATCGGAATCATACGTGTTACAAAATTTATAAATTAGAATATTTAATAAATTTAGAGTATGTTTTGTTGCTTTTATAAGCTATTGTAAAATAAGGACTTAAAATTAGTTATTCCTCTATAGAATTTTGTAGGAAAATAGGAAGTTAGAAACATATTTTACATTTCAACTTTTAAAAGACTTTTATTTAATCGGACGCTAAATGTACAACCACAGATAAACTTTGAATTAAATGATACTCTATTTATGTAGGCGGGAATGGCAGGAATTTAAATACTGATTAGGTAAGGTAATGAAGAAGAAGGGGAATGATGGCTGACTATGGTTGGGGATGGTGCACTCCGGGCAACGACGGTGACGTCTCGCTGTTGGGATCTCACTTATCGACGGCTAATATTCCAACACTGCAGGCTGTATATGGTCACCGCTTTGTAGATTAAGTTCTGGTGACGGTTTTTTTTTTTTTCTTTTTTTTTTTTTTTTTTTATCGTACCGTACCGTACCGTACCGTACCGTACCGTACCGTACCGTACCGTACCGTACCGTACCGTACCGTACCGTACCGTACCGTAACCGTACCGTACCGTACCGTAAAATAATACCGTACCGTACCGTACCGTAACCGTACCGTACCGTACCGTACCGTACCGTACCGTACCGTACCGTACCGTACCGTACCGTACCGTACCGTACGTACCGTACAAAAGATGTACCGTACCGTACCGTACCGTACCGTACCGTACCGTACCGTACCGTACCGTACCGTACCGTACACAAGTACCGTACTGTACCGTACAAGTACCGTAATTTCTTCTCACTGTACTGTACTGTCGTTTGTACGTACCGTACCGTACTGTACTGTACCGGTTTAGGTACCGTAGGTGTAGGTTAGGTAGGTTAGGTTAGTACCGTATTAGGTACCGTACTGTACCGTACTGTACCGTAGGTGTACTAGGTTGGTTAGGTACCGTACCGTACCGTAGGTTAGGTAGGTAGGTGTACCGTACGTACTGTACGTACCGTAGGTGTACCGTACTGTACCGTACCGTACCGTACCGTACCGTAATAATTCAAAAATAATATAATCCCATATAAACAATATTCAAAACAAGACACCGTCTTACGACTTAATTAGTGCAACCGCTAAACAAAAGATGTCGCCAGTAATAGTAATAGTACCACTATTGGCAACCAGATGTCGCATATAAAGTAATAGTGCCACCAACGAACACAAGATGTCGTCACTGATAGTATACAAGTCGCTATAATTTCTTCTCACTCACTAGAGATATTCGTTTGGAAAGTAATTAAAACTCCGGTTTAGGTTAGGTTAGGTTAGGTTAGGTTAGGTTAGGTTAGGTTAGGTTAGGTTAGGTTAGGTTAGGTTAGGTTAGGTTAGGTTAGGTTAGGTTAGGTTAGGTTAGGTTAGGTTAGGTTAGGTTAGGTTAGGTTAGGTTAGGTTAGGTTAGGTTAGGTTAGGTTGGGGTGCTGGGTCGGAAAACCTCCAAGAGTGCCCTGGCTCATTGTACGGTCACTTGTCCTGGTGCGGATACGTCCGGCGGGAACGGTGGCTGACAATGGCTGGGGCCTGGTGCATCCTGGGCAACGGCGGTAAGTGACTTCTCGCTATTTAGAGATCTCACTTACCGACGGCTAATATTCCGACAGAGGTGGTGAGCGGCGAGCCCAATTATGGGTTTGTCGTGTTTTCGTTGGGGGCGGGTTTTGTTCCGCGACTTCTCGTAGTGGGAGTTGTCGGCGGGCCCGGTGAGTGCTTCGTTGCGCAAGCCGGGCTGGTTTCAGTGCCACCGCCGAAAAACTTCGTAATCCCTCGCGAGGTGTGGTCATGTTTCGCACCCGAGTGAGGGGACGGGGTTTTCAATTTGGCTTTTCGCCTGGGCCGCGAG